CTTTGGTTAATTTATTGCTCAAAACTGGTGAACCAACTTTGACGGTAGAAGGACACTTATTGGCAACATGTGTTCTTTCACCACAGTATTTACACTTCCTAAAACTARRAGTARCTTTAGRGCCAGGAAGTATCAGACTAGAAGTGGGACCAGCTCCAAGGATTCCCTTCTCATTGGTTCTTGGAGGAACCTTTGAGGGAATGGATTCCTTAGGTGAAAAGTTCACCCTGAGCTGTGACTTAGATTTCTGATGAGATTCAGATTTCCTAGTCCCTGAAGAAGAAGAAGAAGAAGTTTTACAAGTTGAAGGAATAGATTTAGATCTATTAGACTTGTTAGGCTTCTTAGAAAGGGATGTTGTGATAGTGGATTTACCTTTGTCTTTGCATCCAGAACTCAAAGGAGTTCCTTCAAGATGACTCTCAGTAAAGGAAGATGACTGAGAGGAAGAAGTGTTAGGAATAGAAGAGACAAAGGTACCAAATTTAAGCATGGATCTGTCTTTAACACATTCTTCCTGATCATAGGAGAATCCTAGACCAGTCGTATTCTTAGCCGGGATCTGAGCGTTAATGATCTCAAAGGCTTTGAGGGAAGCTTTCAACCACCCTTCAATTGTAGCTTTCTCAGCCTTGAGTTCAGCGATTGCTCGCTCACGCTCAACAACAGCTTTCTAACGTTCAACAGTGATGGTTTAGTTTACAATAACCTGATCTTTAAGATTTTCCTCAATAGAGGTCAGTTCTTTGATCTTAGAATGACAAATCTTCAATTGCTCTTGAAGATCAACATTAAGCATCTCAGCTTTTGATTTGCCATTGAGGGCATTGTAAAGGTCAACCGTCAGCGTATCTAGTGTAGAAAGACTAGAAGAAGGTTCATTCAGGATACATACCTGAGTAAAAGAAGATGGCTCATGGGAGGTAGATGCTTTAGAAGATCCTTTATCAGCATCAATGGTCATCAAGCAAACATAGGCTTTATCCTCTTTGTCTGAAGATGATTCATCAGATGATTCAGCCCAGTCATGCTTTTCAGTAATAAGGCCTTTAGCCTTTCGCTGGTTATTCTTCATCTTCTTGTATTTTTTCCTTCAGTTTTAAGTATTTTTCATCTTTGGTCCTGAGGGAGGAGGAGGAAGCTTTAGAAGATGGCGTCACAGTCTTCTTTGATCTACATTCACCTGCAAAATGTCCGGGCCGGTGACAATTGTAGCAGACAGCTGAAGCCTTGTCTATTCTTTCAGACTTTGGCTTCTCCCGGAAGGATAGCTGAGGAGATCTGCGGAAATTGCTTTTACTGGCGAAC